GCAGCTAGGGGAAGGCCAGCAGAGAAGACTCTGAATCAAAGAGGGTCCAGATCCAAATCTCGTGGGCGATCGAAGAGTAGGGAGAGGAGGGTACAATGCTGGAAATGTCAAGAGTGGGGCCATGTGAAGCGAGACTGTAAAAACAAGCCAGTTTTTAAGAAAGAAGCTGAATCATCATCGGGTAAAAAGGAGGTCGATGAAGGAGATATGTATTTGGCTGCTGCGTGTATGGCGCAGTCAGACAAAGATATATGGTTGATCGATACCGATGCTTCATACCACATGACGCCTCATAGACACTGGTTTTGTGAATATGAGCAATATAATGGTGGGGATGTCATGCTCGGAGATGATACTGCAGTTCAAATTGTCGAGCGTGGCAGGGTGAAGCTGAGGATGAGTAATGGCGCGGTGAAGACTATTCCAGACGTGATGCACATACCCTTGATGAGTAGAAATTTGTTATCATTCGGTACGATGGCTGATTCGGGGGTTATTTTTAGCTGTGATAAGGATTCGTGCAAGATAACTCGAGGTTCTATTGTGATTGCACAAGGAGTCCGTTACGGGACATTATACAAGCTGCTCGGGGAAACAGTGACCGTTGGTAGAGGGTTCATTTCTGAAGAGGCCAAGGAAGATGGACATGATACGTCCATGTTGTGGCATCAAAGGTTAGGGCATATCGGTGAAAAGGGACTGTCTACTTTAGCTTCAAGTCAGATGGTAGAAGGAGTTCCAAAATGCTCTATGGGTTTCGGGTTCTGTGAACACTATCTCCATGGAAAACAGAACCGAGTTAGCTTCCAACACACTGGTACAAGAGCAACTGAGGTTCTCAAGCTGATTCCCAGCGATGTCTTTAGACCTACTCCGACTCCATCTATTGGAGGATCCAGGTACTATGTATCGTTCATAGATGATTTTTCGAGATATAGTTGGATTTATTTTATTAAAAGCAAATCAGATGTATTCGAGAAATTTCGAGAATTTAAGGTTTTGGTTGAAAACCAATTGGGCAGGAAAATCAAGGTCCTTTGTATAGATAACGGAGGTGAATTATGTTCGGATAAGTTCGAGCAATTTTGTGTGGATAATGGTATTGCAAGGCAGAAGACGACTCCATATACACCTCAACAGAATGGGGTAGCCGAAAGATTAAATCGGTCACTCATAGAAAAGGCAAGATGCATGCTGAATTGGGCAGGTTTGGGGCCAGAATTTTGGGCAGAAGCTGTAGCCACAGCCAGTTATTTAAAGAATCGGTCATCGACCTCATCAGTGAAGGATCGTACACCATATGAGGCAGTGTTTGGGAAGAAGCCGAATCTGTCGCATGTTCGGGTGTTCGGGTGTGACGCATATGTTCATGTATCCAAGGAGAAGCGGGGTAAGCTTGACAACAAGTCTGAGAAAAACATATTTGTCGGATACAAGGAAAGGGTCAAGGGCTATAAGCTGTGGAATCCAGAATCAAAGACCATTGTATACAGCAGGGATGTTGTCTTTCGTGAATCACAACCCCAGGTTGGCACACAGAAAGGTGATGAGCCCAAGAAAGTGGTAGTGCTTGAAGAAAGTCCTAAAACTCAAACTGTGAAGATGGTTCCATAAGGCACACTAGTAGAGTCTGATTCTGAATCGGAGCATGGGGACTCGGTTAATGAAGTCGAGGATGCAGATTCAGATGAAGACCCGGATACAAATAGCATGCCGGCTCTCAAGAGATCGACGCGAGAAAGAAAGGTACCACTTCGATACTCACTTAGTGTTTTGAGTACGTTTCATGCTTTGAGCATTACCGGAGATAATCCTAGTTCTGTAAAAGAGGCGAGATCTATGGATGATGTGAATCAGTGGGAGCTCGCAATGATAGATGAGATGCAGTCGCTTGATAAAAATGAAACATGGAGTTTGTGTAAATTGCCTAATGATAGAAAGGCAATTGGGTGTAAATGGGTGTTCAAGCGAAAGCTGAAATCGGATGGGACTGTAGAGAAGTACAAGGCTAGGCTTGTAGCCAAGGGGTACTCTCAGATTGAGGGAGTTGACTATGACGAGATTTTCTCTCCCGTGTCGAAGTTGACCTCGATACGGTTTGTTCTGTCTATAGCAGCTGCATATGATCTTGAGGTAGAACAGATGAATGTAAAGACGGCATTCCTTTATGGGGACTTGGAGGAGGAGATATATATGAGGCAACCATAAGGCTTTGAAGTAAGAGGAAAGGAGAATTTGGTGTGCAAATTGAAAAAGTCTTTATATGGGCTGAAACAGTCACTGAGAATGTGGTACCAGAAGTTTGACACGTACATACTCCAGCTTAATTTTGTGTGTTCAAATTCTAACAATTGCGTTTATGTGAAGAGAACGGGCGATCAGTTTGTCATTCTCACGCTATATGTGGATGATATGTTGTTGATCGGGAATAGTGTGAAGATGGTGAATTCCGTGAAGAGTTTGTTGGCCAAAAAGTTCGAAATGAAAGACTTGGGGCCTGCAAATTTTATTTTGAGCATGCAGATTAAGAGGGACCGTGAGAAACGGAAGCTGTGGCTAGGGCAGGAGAAATACATAAAAGAAATATTGAAGAAATTCAATATGATAGACTACAAGCCTGTTGGTACCCCTATACCTTTAGGGACCAAGCTATCTGCGGAACAATGTCCAAAAACGGATGAAGAAGCATAAGAGATGGCCCGAGTTCCATACGCGAGTGCAGTGGGTAGCTTGATGTATGCTATGGTGTGCACGCGTCCGGATATAGCCCAAGCAGTGGGAGTCTTGAGTCGATACATGTCTAACCCAGGTAGAGAACACTGGAATGCGATCAAAAGAGTTTTTAGGTATCTTCGTGGAACTTTGAATTTTTCTTTATGTTTTGAAGGTACAGGGAATGGAAACATGCTTGATATCGTAGGCCATGTAGATGCTGATTGGGGTGGAGATATTGATAGTAGACGGTCCACTAGCGGATATGTTTTCACATTGTTTGGTGCTGCGTTGAGTTGGATGAGCAGGAGGCAAAGCGTGGTAGCGCTTTCTTCTACGGAGGCTGAGTATATGGCTCTTACTCATGCTGGAAAAGAGGCCGTACGGTTACGGCGGTTGTGCTTGGAGCTCGGTTTTGAGGAAGGTGCCATAGAGGTGAGATGTGATAATCAAGGGGCTATTTATTTAGATAAGAATCCAGCATTTCACTCACGCACAAAGCACATTGATATACAATATCATTTCATCCGAGAAAAGGTAGAGAAGAAAGAGGTTCGGCTTGTAAAGGTCGACACGGTAGAAAATAGTTCTAACTTCCTTACTAAAGCCGTCACAGGTGCGAAGTTTGAATGGTGCTCTACTGCGATTGGATTGAAGAAGAATGATATTGGAAAGGCTCTCATTTGCGCGAAGTATCCACCAAGTGGGAGAATGTTGGAGTTGGCGAATACTTCGGGGACCCTTGTTTCTCACACCAGGTACGCTCACGTGAGCTTAGGGAAACTGAAGTGTTATCCATCGATATGTGATCCCTGCGTGCGGAATGCGGGGGTTCGGGCGCGCAGCGTCTGGCTGCCGGTCGGGGCGAGGTTCCGCGCCCCACGGAGGATTCCATTTGGTGCGAGATTAAGAGATTAAGAGATTTCGTATAGGTTTAGGTTTAGGTTTTGGGCCCGTTTGAGGCACATACATATTTTGCTCGTTTTTCTGATCATTGTAACGAGTGGGAGTGGCTGTAAACCTAAAATATAGTGAAATCTCTTTGCAGGACGTAGCCCTATTCGAGGGTGAACCTGGGTAAATTCGTGCATCGTCTATTTTCACTGATTTCTGCGTGATCGTTCTGTTTCGGTTCTCGATATATCCCTTCAATGGCACAGAACCTATAAATTCTTTTACCTTTTTCCTTGTTCGAGGTAAAATGAATCCCGCGTCTTATTACATGTGCGACCCGCAAAATTTGCTTTTTTTTTTTTAAAAGTAAACAAGCGTATTTCCTAAGACAAGTGAAAAGCAGGAGGGTAAGATCAGCTGCAAAACTAAGTATTTGTAGAGATTCAATTAAGTTTAAGCTCCTGCATTGATGAACTTGCAAGGGCTGTGCTTTGGCAATTAGTGAAGTTTCATATTTTAGCCTATATACAACCCTTCCAGGTAGCTCTGTTAGCTCTGTTAACATCAATTCTTTTAGGAAATGCATCAAGAAGAATGCCAAGAGGATGCGATGGATCATACCACAACATGGTCGTTAACCCCATCACCTATATTGATGCTGATGAAACGATTCATTGTTTCTTGAAGCTTGAACAATTTCCTCCACACTTAGGAGGCATTGACTGCAACCTTTGCTGGCCAAAATTTACTGCATGTATCTAAACAACTTACTTCATATATCTAAGCAATATCATTATAGCCCACAGGAGTCAAAGCAGGATAAGCAGTAGTATTTTCACCATGTTTCATGCTTTTGTCTGATGGTCTCGACGTGTTTGTTTTTACTTATTTCTCCCCAAAAGTTGGTCTCCACCGTTGAACCCCCCCTTTCATTAGAGGAGGCCTAGAGAAAGGACCTGGCATTGTCCCTTCATTAAGCATTAAGCATACTTTTGTATTTTCCAAGACAAAAGATAAAAAGAGGTGGCGGTGTTCCTAGAAATCTTCAAAACGAAGGGTCCAATGAACGCATCCGGTGGCACCGGCCTCGAACGAGCTCCCCAATAAATTATTTTTTGGGAAGAAGGTCGTACCTACTGTATTGATAACTTCAAATGATTCACCAAGAACTAAAACCTTTCATATGGAAAATTAAAAAATTTGGGATGATACCTTGAAGTGATAAATCAAAAGGAAAACACCCGTACACATATTCTGTTCACATCTGACTGAGTCTAAACAACAAATCCATGAAAACTAGTACGTTTTCGTTGGGGCACGTACTAGGCAGGACACATCTACATTTATTACCAGCTTAATCCTCTAACGAGCGAAACACAGATCTCGCACAGAAGATGTATTCCTCAACTTATGACGGTGGTGCAAAATATGCAACCCATGGGTTTCCAGGTCCAATGAACATCTCCTCTTGCCCACCTCCGCACGCCGCCGCCACTCGCGGCACGGCTGCGCGGTGGTCGACAGGCCTTTGCCACTGCTGTGACGACCCTGCTAATTGCCTGATCACTGCCTTCTGCCCTTGCGTGACATTCGGACAAATTGGCGAGATTGTGAGCAGGGGTTCCGTTTGTAAGTTTCCTTAAAACATGTACATTTGTGAACATGACGGTTTTCTTAGTTGGTTCTGTCTGTTAAAGGGCATTGGTTGTCATCTGTGGATTGCCTTTGTGTCTTATGTGTGTGGCCATGTGAACCATATAGTATACTTCGTTCTTTTTTTCTGGGTCTGTTAATATGTGGAGGAATAACTATGTTCAATGAGCTCAGGATTTTGAAAACTAAAAAGCTCATCAGGTTTTTTTTGCCTACCTTATGTTTTTGATGATTAAAAATGTTTTGATTCTTTTGTTTTTTGGGGCACAGCTTGTGCAGCAAGTGGGTTCGTGTACGCAGTGTTGGCTCTGACGGGCTTGCCATGCCTGTATTCATGCTTTTACCGGTCGAGAATGAGAGGGCAATATGTCTTGGAGGAGGCACCCGTCGCCGATTGCTTGGTTCACTTCTGCTGTGAGCCTTGTTCGCTTTGCCAAGAGTATCGAGAGCTCAAGAATCGCGGCTTCGACATGGGCATTGGTAATTCAAAGACCTTCATCCTCTTGAACTCTTTCATTGTGAGAACTGTTTTCGGATAATCTTGCGCATTTGCTTTCTTGATCACTTTCTAGACCAAATTGTTATTTGGATTCCAAGATATAGTGTATGTTCACTGTTATTTCTTGCCCTACCCATTGAGATGAATGATCTATCCTATTTTGATGCATTGGTTTATGTGATTTTGAATGTGAAGGTTGGGAAGCAAACGTGGACCGGCAACAAAGGGGGATGGCAAATGCTCCCACTGTGATCGTAGGCATGGATCGGTGAAGCTGAGAACTGAGAACAAGGTGCACAGGGAAGACTTTGGCGTTTCTGCCTGTTCTTCCTCTTGCTTTTACCTTCCAGATTATCCATGTGTTGCTGTCTATTTCTGAAACCAATACCAATACCATTTCACATCTAGATATGTGTTCAGCTATTTTGTCAATGGAATTATGTATGTTTATTTATTTCGTTTATGGATTGAGATTCTCTCAGTAAGGATAAATTGACGTGTTTTATTACTTGCTCTTCAAAATAATCACACATTAACACATTTAATCCAATTTTTATGTGCTCTTACCAATTTTTCCCCTCGTTTCCATTTTCCTTTCTCTTAGTTTTTTCCTTATTCAACCTTTTACCACAAAATGTATCTGATCTGCACTAGTTAAAGTTAAACTACTAGCGACCGCATCCTCTATGTGTCGCCATCATCAACCGGCGACCATTTGCCAGATGCCTCGCCACCACCTCCCTCCCCCCTCCATTATCCTTCCATCCATTAATCGGAGGAATTGTGGCTGATTACTATCATCGACGACTAGCTTGGTGCTTCTATAAGCGACTTGTGAGACTTTGATGGAGGATGCAATAGAAGTCTATGACCTCAATTCCTAGGTCAAGTACCTCCACTGTTACGGAGAGGGAGGTGGCTCGTGGTGGTGGCTAGAGGCGGGCGGCAACTTCGACGAGGTGCTTGGGCTGTGACCATAAAGTAGGAAAGAGATTAGTTGTTTTGGGCTAGGATATTTTGGGACAAAAACATCAAATTAAAGATGAACCGTTATGAAACTATGGTAAATAAGATGGAAAGTATAGAGCTAGAGTACCAAACCAAACTCCTTGATGTGAGATTTGTCTGCTTGTTGCATTCGTATCCCACATTTGAGTGTATCTACAGCACACTTGGACATTTTACAGGTTTATGCTCATGACTCAAATTTGCAGATTTTGTTGAAAAGATCATGTCGTTGTAATTAAAGCCCAAAAGCAAATGAAAAGGGGTAAGATTACCCAATACGTTGACCTTGGACAATTTGTAGCTCAACCTCTCCAATCTGTGTAGGCGTGCAATCTTTCCATCCAATGTTGCCACTCAACTTTTAAAGGCGATCATCATAAAGATGAAGCTTTGCAAAGAAGAAACCGTCTGACATTTGTGCAATATTATCCTCAAGTGAGAGTCCATTTGAATTATGTCACCTTTTTGACAAAAAAAAATAGTCTCCTTAAAGAGAGAAAGAAAGCTGCGTAATTGAAGAAGGAATTTTGGTTTCCTACATTAACACTGATTGGATTGCATTGAGGTATACTTAATACTTTCCAAAACTACATGATTAAGATAGAATGTAAAGCCTATCCTCATTTGTAGCCAAGCTTTGAGAAATGGTTCAATGGTTGACTTGGTAATTGATTATAAGCACTCTAAAATGACCTAGAGTTGCTAAAATTGCTTGAAAAGATTTCCTTTATGTCCACACAAGGCACATGCCCGCGCGTTGTGCGGATCCTTAGGAATTCCCTTATTGTTCCAAGTTTTGATGGGACAAAACTTGTGTTTTTCAATCTTTCTTAACAAACTAATCTAGTGGTAAGAGTAAAACTTAGAATGATAAAGATTATAATTCAATGAAATTGAGTTTTAGAGTCAAGAACATTCACCTCTATAAAGGGAAAATTACCAAAAAAGCCTTAAACATATTGCAATTATACCAATTCAGTCCTAGACCTTTTTTTTGTGTGCCAATTGAGTCTTGAACATTTTGCATTTGTGTCAATTTAGTCCGTCTAGCTAATTTTGGCTAGCTGGCACTAACGTGGCATGGCCGGTGCTGACGTGGATAATTTTTAATAATATTTTATTTTATTTTTCGAATTTTTTAATTATTTTTTTCTTTTTCCTTTTATTTTATTTTCTTTCTCTTTCTTTTCTTTTTTTCCTTTTAATTTTGGTAACCTCGATCCAGTGACTGGCCAAAGGCAAGAGCCGGGAAGGTCAACCCTGTCGGCCACTAGCGAGGCGAGCCTCGCTGCCACTAGGTGAGGTCGACCTCACTCGCCCTTGGCGAGGCTTGACCTCACTGTTGCTGGGCGAGGTCGGCAGTTGTCGCGACCGAACTCCCGAGCTCCCTTTCTTTATCGAACATGCAAAAAGAGGGGAGCTCGCCTAGTACGTGCTAAGTCTAGGTTCGGGACTTAACTCGGGCTCTCCCAAGCCCATACCATATCGCGACTTAGGGTTTAAGTTTTTAACATGCAAGTGGTTTATATCGAGGAGTCGCCACTAATCGATTTGGGGTGAGTCGATTAGAAACCCAAATAGGTGATGGGAGAATCACCCTATTCCTACGAATCGAGAGATTAACCGAATTCGGGACTTAGTTACACTAGTTGGATAACTAATGCCCTTTCGGTACCATTTTGTCCTATTCATTTTTTGAAAACATTTGTCGGGCAATTTAGATTGATTTTAGGACCTTTCTCCTAACATGTGAGGTGATCAACCGAGTGCATAATCGAAACGATCGGCGATCGGGATAGATAGGCACCTAAGGTTCTAACCTTAACTAAGTCGAGATGACATTCAAAAACACAACAATTCATGCAATTGTATTAAAAACATGCATAATAACACAACGGTAATAAAATTAACATGCAAAATACTACCTCGCAATACCAGGCTTGTCTAATTTAAACAAAACAAAAACTTGTATAATAATACCATAACAAATATATCACATAATAAAAAAACTTTTTTTTAAATTTTTTTTTTGATTTTTTTTTTCGGAAAAAAAATAATACAGAAAAGAAAAAAAAATTAAAATTTTTTTAAATTTTTTTTTAAAATTTTCTTTTTTTTTCAAAAAATAAAATAAAATAAATAAAGAAAACAATATAATATATTCCAATTTTTTTTTTTGAAATTTTAAATTTTATATTCTAATATTGCAAAATGCACCTATGTCTACATGCAATGCTATTATAAACTAAATAATAATAATATTTTTTTTTTGGTTTACGAATTAAGGACATTAACCCATAAATTTTTGTAAAATTAATTTTGGGCAAATAAAAAATAGGTGTCAACAGCAGTGCCCAACTATTGGTGAGGCATGCACTCGCTGGATCTAGCGAGGGCTTGCCTTGCTTGTGGTTGGGCAAGCTCGACCTTGCCTAGCGACGGCGAGGCTCACCTCGCCAGGGGCTGGCAAGGTCGACCTCGCCGGCCCTCGCCTTCGTCCGGCGACTGGCCAAAGGAAGAAGGAAGGAAAAAAAGAATGAGAAAGAAAAGAAAAAAAATTAAAAATTTCGAAAATATTATTGAAAATTATCAACGTTAGCGTTGTCCATGCCATATCAGTGTCTGTTGTGCCATGTTAGCGCCGGCCTGCTAAAATTGGCTAAATGAAATGAATCGGCACAAATTCGAAAAGGCTTGGAAATCAATTGCCACAAAAAAGTATTTAGAATTGAATTGGTACAATTGCAATAGGTTTAAGACTTTTTTTATAATTTTCCCCCTCTATAAATCTTCCCCCTATAAGATTTAGAGACATATAGGATAATTGCGCTCATATAACAAGGTCCCTACATCGTGTACACCATATATAATTGAAGAGAAAAGTGAAGATATATCGAGGACAAAGTACCATTTTCAATGGAGTTGAAGACCTTCTCTTTCCTTGAAGAATGAATGCTTGGTCATTTCCACTCGCATGTTCCTTAAGGCCTATGTGATTCACAAAATGGAAAGAAGAGATATAAAGGTGATGATATATTGAGAGGAGAACCAACGCTATAGAACCGTTATTAGAGGTCATTGAATTGGCTTTATAAAGACTAATCGAATACAATGGTTGTAAATTCGAGAATGCCCATCAAAATCTTCAAATTGACCTTGACTTACCTATTATTATTAGCTAGAGGTCGCAAAATTGGTCCGTTTGAGCACTTTGCTTGTTCTGATTCCTCTCGGGTTTCTGTATATCCGATGCTTGCCTTCCTTATGGGGCACTTACCAAATTCACCCGGTTTATGGATGTTTTGTGATTTTCCTCCCAAGTTGGTATTTTTTTATTTTTTCAAAGAAATATTTTATTCATTTCCATGGATATAAAATAGAGATACGCAGTCCAACTGCAAATCAAAACAATAAAAAAAATTCCAGATAAGAAGATGAATTATTAGAATAAGGTTATGAGTTACACGCTCGAAGAGCAGATCTGGGACTTTTTCATATCAAAATTAGTGGCCGATCACCGAACTTGTCTTTAATAATGAGCACACACCGAGATTTCAATCTATTGCTATGACTTTGCCTTTCGGATGCGATGCGCACTTAAGTTCAACGTCCCCAACACCATCGCCATGCAGAGTAACAAGGTTAAATGCGCACAGATCCGATACCTGTGAGAGCGAAATCTTCACGAAACTCTTATGATCTCTTTCGAAACTAGACTTGTGCACTAACAAAACCCGAGGAAAGCGAAATCCTAAAATCATATACGCAAAAAAAACTCCAAATCTAAACTAGGTCGCAATAGAAACTTCCCTGAAACGGGAAAGAGAAACATTTAAATCTTGACTAGATCAGAAGAGAAAAACTCCTCAAAACGGGAGGAAAGTAAGAAAAAGATAACAGAGAACCAAATCAGCTAAAGCCTTAAATTCTCCCCTCCATGGAAATTGAAGTTGTGAGAAGATAGGAGGGAGAGAGGAGAGAATCCTAGAGAGGAGTGGGCAAAAACGTCGACACGGTGAAAGGACAAGTTGGTTTCTTTTGAAATCTGGGTTTTGTGTTGCTTTCATTGACCATTTTAAGCCATATGTGATGTTGAGATTTACTCTCATCTTGAGCTTTAAGGTACGAATTGGGTTGGGTATGAATTGGGTCCGGAAATAATGTTACATAAAAATTAGTAACAATTTCGTTTGTCTCGCTATTGTGAAGGAACGGCCGCAACATTAACGAAAATGATTAATGATGTTATGTTAATCTCATTGTA